GAGTGTGTGTGTGTGTTTTTCTCTCTTTAATTCTAAAGAAAGTGAGGTTCAAGCATTGCCCACCCCCTCCATTGTAAAAGTTCTTCCTTGCATACCTCTTTTATGTAAGATAATTTTCCCCATTCTTCCTCCCCATTCCTCTCTCCCAGTGCATCCCTCTTTCTTTTCTTTTCTTTTCTTTTTTTTTTTAGGCAATTGGGGTTAAGTGACTTGCCCAGGGTCACACAGCTAGTAAGGGTCAAGTGTTTGGTCTGAGGCCGCATTTGAACTCAGGTCCTCCTGACTTCAGGGCCAGTGCTCTATCCACTGTGCCACCTACCTGCCTCTGCATCCTTCTTTCTTACCCCTTCATTTTTTCTGAGATCTTCTCAACATAATTGACTCACACCCATGCCTTCTATGTAGACTGCTTCTGACTCTCACAATAATGATAAAGTCCTTAGGAATTACATGTATCATTTTCCTATATAAGAATCTAAACAGTTTAACCTTATTGCATCTCTTATGTTTTTTCTTTCATTTTTACCTTTTATCTCTTGAGTCTTGTATTCGAATGTCAGATTTTTTATTCAGCTCTGGGCTTTTTCATCAGGAATGCTTGAAAGTTTTCTATTTCATTAAATATCCATTTTTTTTTCTCACCCTGAAGGATTATACCCAATTTTGCTGGGCAGGTTATTCTTGTTTATAATCCTAGCTCCTTTGTCTTCTGAAATATATTCCAAGCTCTCTGCTCCTTTAATATGAAAGCTGCTGAATAGTGTGTGATCCTGACTTTGGTCCGTATTTTTCTTTATGGTTGCTTGCAATATTTTCTCCTTGACATAGGTACCCTGGAATTTGGCTACAATATTTTTGAGAGTTTTCATTTTGGGATGTTTTTCAGGAGGTGATCAGTGGATTCCTTCAATTTCTATTTTATCCTCTGGATTTGACCTTGGGGCAGTTTCCTTTTATAATTTCTTTTAGTATGTTGTCAAGGTTCTTTTTTTTTTTATCATGGCTTTCAGGTAGTCCAATAATTCTTAAATTATCTCTCCTTGATCTGTTTTTCAGGTTCAGTTTTTTTTATTAGATATTTCACATTTTCTTCTGTTTTTCTTTTGATTTTGTTTTATTGTTTCTTGATGTCTCATGGAGTCTTTAGCTTTCACAATTCTAATTTTTAAGCAAATATTTTCTTCAGTGAGCCTTTGTATGTCTTTTTCCATTTAGCCAATTCTGCTTTTTTAAGGAGTTTTTTTCTTCAGTGAATTTTCTGTTTTGTAAGTTGTTATTTTCTTTAGGGATTTTTTTTGGCCTTTTTTAATCAAGTTGTTAGTGTTCTCTCTTTTGGTGAGGCAGTTGGGGATTGGGGTTAAGTGACTTGCTCAGGGTCACACAGCTAGTAAGTGTCTGAGGTGGGATTTGAACTTAGGTCCTCCTGATCCCAAGGCCAGAGCTCTATCTACTGCGCCACCTTGCTGCCCCTGTTAATTCTCTTTTCATAATTTTCTTCCATCACTTTTATTTCTTTTGCCAATTCTCTACTCCTCTTATCACTTTCTTTAACTCTTCTAGGAATTCTTGTTGGGCTTGGATCCAGTTAGCATTTTTCTTTGAGGCTTTGTAGAGGTTTTCACATTGTTGTTTTCTTCAGAGTTTGTGTCATGGTTTTCTCTGCCACCATAGTAGCTTTTTAGTTCACTACCCTGTGGGATCCCCTGCTGCCTTGATTCCAGGTTGTTGTTCATCTTTCAAATTCCTCACAGCTGTCAAGTCTTTCTCTTTTTCCTCTTCTCCATTTGCAGACTGGAGGACACTGAAAACTTGAATCTATTCTGGGAGACTCCCCAATTAAAAACCAAACCGGGTCATTTCAGTTGGACCTTCATATGTGCATCAGTTGGCCACATTAGAGGCAGAGAACATATAGGTTAGGGTCTTTTCTCTGGTTGATGGCCTGGAGAAGGTCTGGAGAAATTCTGATTACCATTTTAGGGAGGGAAGGGGACTGGGTATCTTTCAATTTACCAGGACAGATCTAAAGACAAAGTCTCCTTTATTTACTTCAATACTCTTGTCCCTTCCCTAGGAATCTTGAGAGGTGATTCCCCCAGGCCACATGGCTTGCATCAGTACTCCTCGAACTGGAAGCAATGGTACCAATCACGGCATTTGCACCTGGGCAGTTGAATCAGCATTGTATCTTGTGGGAATTCTATGACCGTCCACTTTCTGCCAACAGTGTGTATGACTGCCAAAACCCACCATGTTGCATGGTGAAAGTGGGCCCCAACTCAGAGACAGTGCTACTTAGCAACACTGCTAGCAGTAGATGAATTCATTAATTATTGTTTATCTTTTTAAAAAGCAATCAACACATCAAAATACAAGTCAATATTTATTTTCATCCAAATGTCAACTTCCCAAACCACATTTAATCTTTTCTCCATGGATATACCTAAATGGACATTTCCTTTTCAAGGGGCAGCAGCACTGATGGGCCAACTTGTTGACTTCATTTAGTGGAGAAGTCAGGAATGCTTATTGGAATACTGACTGCACAGGGAGTTGTCCAGCTTGGTGTTAGTTACATATTTCTCACATGGAATAACTGCAACACCTGAGTTTTAGGACTTTAACTTTCAGGAATTTTTCACATGCAGCATTATGTTTCCATTTGGAAAACTGATTCAACCGATTCAAGTATGTGGACATAAGGTAAATAATCTGTAATATACAGTTGTACTTACTATATTCTTCAGTATGGATTTCACAGTGCCAAGTGGAAACTCTAAAGCCACCATAATGGAGATTCGCTGCTTGACGTCTGCTTTTTTTTTTTTTAAGATGGGGGAAAAGCTTAGGGAGGATGGAGCAGCAGGTCCAGACCAGAGGGAGAACGGAACACTGTTGGGTTTCAATCGGCTGGAAATCTATGCAGTTAGGTGATGTTCCCTGAGATAGCTCGTACTTGTCAGTTTATTACAGGCCTGGTTAATGTTGTTACTGCTTAGACTTCTTGATGATCTTTCTTCTCTCCTCTCTTAGTTGCCATTTTTATTATTTTAGAGTGGGAGAGGAGAAGAGAAAGTCTTAAATTAAAAAAAAAATTTGTGAACATGACACATTTTGCTTTTTAAAAGAGATCAACTAGGTTTTAAAATAAAATATTAAGGAGAGAGCCTAGTTGGCTGGTTCTTTAACAAGGCTTGGTCAAACAAAAAGTAGTTGGTTTGGAAAAATGTTCAGTTTTCTAGAGAACTTGGCTGCGCCCGTGCTCTTATTTGGATTCTATCCAGTCTGCTTAGTGGAGACCTCTGCACAGCAATACCCCAAATTCAGACTCTCTATAAAGAATGTACTTAAGGTTTAAAAATATGAATCTACTTTAAAAGCAATAATGAACCTAAAAAAAAAACCAGCTATGGCAAAGCCGCTACCATATAGACTAAAAGCATCAGTGATTTAGTTTGAGAATTGTCTCTGGATCACGTAACTCTCCAGAGAATCTTTTGTATAAATGCTTTTATCTATTTGAGGACTTGACTGTGTCCCTGCCATCTTTCCTACCTACAGCTCTTCTTTGTCTTATTGCTCTAGTTAAGCAGGCTGAAGGTCTTTACTATAGAACTTGGTGTTGGAGTTTTAAAAGAGAAACAGATCTGATATAGCATGTCACCTTCTATGAATGTGATATCTGGATATGTGTGTGTGTGTGTTGCTGAAAACGTATATTAAAGGCATATTTTGGTTTTCCTTCATGACTGTTAGTTACTGCACTATTGTGGAAAGAACACTGGTTTTGGAGTCAAGGGTCTTAGGTCTAATCCTGGTTCTGCTACTCCATCTCTGTGTGATATTGGGCAAGTCACCCTCTTTGGGCCTCAGTTTTTTCATCTACAAATTGAGGAGGTTAGATTAGATGAGGGATTTCTTAATATTTTTCTCAAGTTCTGTTTGTGTCATGGACCCCCTCTGGTATTCTAGTGAAGTTTATGGACTCCTCAGAATAATGTTTTTAAATCATTGAAGGAAATGCTAAATTTTAGTTAAGAAGTTTGTAAAAAGGATAGGTGAAATTTTCTTTTATCTAAGTTCATAGACTCCACTCACAGATCCCTTGGAGGGAAGATCCATGGGCCCATCAAGACTTTAATAGATTAAGAAGGCCTAGGCAATAAAATTACTCTCAGCTCTAAATCTTTGATCCTAGAGATTATATTTGGCATATAACAATGGCATCACTACTAGAAAATCTCATTGCCAACAGAAGACTGATCTGAGAGACTGCTTGGACCTCTAACACAGGGAATAATATGCCAATTATCAATGACAGGCTGTGGGCTGAGTTTCTGTAATGTTTTATGAGGTTCAGGTTTTAAACATGTTTGCAAAAAGAAATGATGAACTTTCCCCGAAATTTCAAGTTACATGATTTTCTGTATAAGCCTGCTTTGACCACAGCACCTCATAAAATAATTAGCTTTGGGCATGGAGGGATCATGTTCTTCAATGTTGGAGAAAGCTGTTTACAAAGATAAAAATCATAGATTAAAAAAAATACCAGATAATCATTAGTGAAAAGCTAAAACAAATACATGTGAAATGATCACATGTGAAATGACTGACATCTTTCTATTTTTTACAATTATTTATCCAAGGACCTTTAATGTGATGGAACTCACCCTGACCAATTGGTTCTTAAGGTTCAGTTTATTGAGAATGTAATTATGAGGAGATTGTGGTTAGCAAGTTTTGTTTTTTGAAGGGAGAAAGGATACTGACCCAAAAAAACCTTTATGACAGTAAATACTATTGTTGAATAGCTTAATCATAAAATTAGATGACTTTTTTTATAGGTGGAATGTACTAGGATGTGTACACAGCTCAGCTTAGAAGTAATTTGTTTCATTTGAAGGACAGTAATTATTGCTGAGTATAATATAAATTTGATTTTGGGCATGAATCGCTGCTCAACCCAGATCACCCCATAAAACGTATGAAAAAACCCAAAATATACTTAATACTTTATTTTTTAAAAAATATCTAAAACATCAAGAACAAGTTTATGACAAAGGAAATAAATGCCCTGTGATTAGAAAGACAATGAGAATTACAAAGATGTTTGGTTCAGGGTGGAGGGAAGGAAGGTTGAGGTGAAGATGAAATGTCTGAAAACCTTTTCTTTTAAGCAACAACAAATATACACCATGTTTATTTTTCTATCAAAGAAAAGAGACAGGGCCACCAAATGGAATGTCATCATCTGTTAGTTGGGATATGTTTGTTTTTTAAGGTGGAGTGGATAAAATAAGCGCCTAGCCCCAGTCAACAAATTCCACAGTATTTTTCTTGGAGGGAACCTGGGCACTGCCTACCAAGTGAGGAAAAGGAATACTTAGATCCCCTCAGTATGAGATAGTTAATCCATAGATTAGAACTAACCTGACAGAGAAAAGGAAATTTTTATCTGTCCATTGAATCTAGTTAATGAAATATCTTTCAACTATTCTGAGGCACTGTTTAAGTCATAAGGATAAAAAGAACATTTTTGGATCTGTGGAGATACTTTTCATGACCAAAAATATGCATGTGAAACCATTTCCCCTCAAAAATGGCTTTTGTATACAGGCTTTAAGGTGAGGATCTCACTGTTACTTATAAAAACCAGTAGAATGGCGACCTCATGTTAAACATTCTTTTGTCCTTTATACCAGTGAATGAGGGCCTTTTACTAATTAATAACTTACCTGAAGTAGAGCCACATAGTCTTTTTCTCCCCTCTGAAAGGGCAGCACTCTTTCACAAGTGGGTTTTTTTGTTTAAAGCAATCTAGGCTGTTTCTGCATGCATGGGATCATAAACAAAAAGCCTGAAACTGAGAGTTTGAACTATCTATTGCATCACTGCTTTGGGTTTGAGTCACTAACCCTGAAGCCCAACTCCCTCAAAGCAGGCAAAATTGAACTCTAATTTTTGCCCAGTATTGAATAGAATAGGATTGATTTTAAGTGATCTGTGTTACTCGAGCCAAAATTCCAAGTGGGAGGACCATTCAGGTACCTGGATTTTTTACACATTTCCTCTCCCTCCCCCCACCAAAAAAACCCCAACAAAAACCAAGAACAAAATCTGTTGTTATGGAACTATAAACTAAATTTCAATAATGCAATTGATAAACTTGTATGTAGAAATACACAAACCATCCCTAAGAACAATAGCATTCCTGTTTAAAACAATGGGTTAGGAATACTGTGAAAGTGTCTTTTCCTTTTGTGTTATTCCCTTGAGAGTGAAAAGGGATGTCCTTCCTCTCCCCACCCCCCCACCATCTTGGGGAGGTGCAGGAGTCCTTAGCCAAAGATCTCTGTTCACAGTTGTCTCAATCCTTTCTTTTCCTTCTGAACAGACTCTCCAAGCCCAGTGTTCTTTGCTTTTATGTCAGACCTTAACTTGGGAGGATTGTCATCCAAGGTCCATAGCAATCATGTCAGTTTTTATTGGAAGATAGTTTTCTAACTTGCTCCTTTCTTCTCCCATTCCTGGAACATATAAACACCCCCACAAGCCCCCAAAAATAATTATTTTTTTTTTTTGTTGTAGAATTTTTGTTTCACAGGTCAAAGTTGGTGCTTTAAAAGATCTTTAACTTTTCTCTGAAATAAAGCTGCATCTTTTTAACACCAGTAATTCTGCCAGGGATAACTGAGAGGGGTGGAATACCAAAGTCTCAAACTATTTAAGTTTGTGGATCACCCAGAACGGCAATGGGAGAGATGACTGTGAGCAGTCTATTGCAGGAGAAGCCGTGTCAAAGAGACCATCCAAAAAAATGTATGAACTTAAAAGGATGTGCACTGGTTGAGTAGAGAGAAAAGGGATACCCAGCAGTCAGCCTGTGCCACAGATATTCACATCATGTCAAGAGATCTAAAGGAAGCCTCCCAGTGTGTTGGATGGAACATTTATGAGAGGACACATACAAAAGGCCCACAAAGAGAAGGCAGCAACTGGTCACAGTCTGTACTATTGATATGAGTATAAAGACACAGAAGAAATCAAAGAAATGGAATTTTATGCATCAAAAATACTTGTACATTCCATTAAAACAACTGTATCCTTGATTCTAGGTGAGGTCTAAGTTTGAAATAGATTGCCTTAACTTAGCACACTGGCATCAGAACTGCATTCTCACATTATGCTGATATCACCATTAGTACAAAAGAAAAGGGTATGGTATTAGACATTTGTTTCCTGGGCTTGTTACTGTACTAAATTTCCAGAACTGATAAAGCAGATCAGTTTAAATAGATTATGTTTCTATGACAGGTGGATTCCCAAAAAGCCTCCTGGCATAGTTATGGAATAGAAATAAGGGCTAGATTTTGTTTTAGATTCCTTTATCCCACAGAAGCACTGGGCAGCCCTAGGCAAACTATAGTTCTTTGCAAAACAGAGAAGGATGCATTAAATTTCCTGTCCATCCATTCTAGCCTGCAGGGAAAACCAAGTACCATTGTTCCAGGAGAAGAGCAGTAGGCAGTGAAAACTTAAATCTTGAAAGAGGCACGATGAGGGTTTGGTTCCTGTGATCTGTTTAACCAATAAGCACAGCAGGAGTTTTCAGATCCCTTCCCCTGCAGTTTATAGCTCTTCAAGTTGCTGCTGAATTCACCAGGTGCTGGTTATAGAATTTATGTTCCTTTTGTCTTATTAATTTAACCCCTACCATGTAATGTAACGTGCCTGGTGCTCAAGTCAGTGAGTATAGTAAATAAAGGGCAGCAAACGGCCCTTTCAGGGTGGGCTCTTCCTAATAAGCAGGAGCACAGAATACCTGTGGACTTAGAACAACAGACTCCACCCAGATAATGGTTCCCTGCTGCCCTGGTATTAATGGAGCTGCAGAGCCAATCACTATCAGACGTCCTCCCTCTGGGTGAAGCCACAGGATTAGAGAAAGAAAAGCAAATGCCAGAGATGCACTATGAACAATAGATAACACCCACTCGGCTAGACATTGACAGCCCCAAATCCTGCTTACCATAGCTTTCCTCAAGACTGTTCCCTTGCCTGTTACCATGACGGAGAGAGGTCTGTTTTTTAAAGCTGTAGCAGAGTTGACCGGAGAAGAGTCTGCAGCAGGAGCTGGATTGGGGGCTTTGGTCTGAAATTACAAAACGAAAGCCATGTCTGGGTGAAATGATGCTATTTGACTCTGCTGGCTCAGAGCAGCAACAGCCCATAGGCGACGTACTTTGGGAGCTGTATTCTCCAAGTGGGTAGTGTCCACTGCTGTGCCCAGGGTCACAGGCCCGGCCTCCGCCTTCCTCAGGCTTTCTTTCACCTCCATGATGCTCAGTTCCAGGTCCACACGTCTGTTCTCCTTTTCCCTGCACTCTTCCTCCAGCTCCTTCAACTTCTGCTCCAGACAGGCCAGGGCACACTTATCTGCAAAGGGGAAGGACAAACAGAATGGAACTTGGGGTTATGTTTCCATCAGGAGAACTATGCTATACCTGGCTGCACAGGTAAGAAAAATGGGACCCTACTTGGAGAGTGAGAAGTTCAATTCAACAAATGTGTTTTAAGTGCCTACTGGGTGCTAGGCCACAGAGATACAAAGACAAAATGAAGAATCACTTTTCTTCCATTTACGCAAATGCCAAATCTGCCCCTAATCAGTTATCATAATGGAGGCTAAGGATGGCTTAAAGTGGGAAGGCTTGGGCTAAAATTCTTTACTGTGTGACCTTGGGCAAGCTGCAATGGATAAAGCATGGAGCCTAGAGTCAGGAAGAGTTCAAATCCAGCCTCAGACACTTGCTAGCTGTGTGACCCTGGGCAAATCACTTAACCTCTGTTTGCTTAGGACAGTGCCTGACACATAGTGAGCTCTATATAATGGTAGCTATTATTATTACGTATCTTCCTTGGACCTCATTTATAAAATGGGGGTAGTGGTAGAGTAGTCTAATTAGAGGTGTCATACATAGGCTCTCAAAAATCTCAGAGTACCCCTCCATCCCATTTCTATTCAATTTTGATACCGCTGGACTAGATGACCTCTAGGTTATCTTTCAGCTCTAAATTTATAGAAATTCTTTTTAAAAATCAGATCTGTGCTTTTGTTGATATAGAGAACATCTGATAGGGAAATTCCCTACTAAAGCAGACCATTATTTTTGCTCTTTCATTTAAGAGTCAGAAGGCTGCCTGATGCTTTAAAGTGACTTATCCAAGAGTCCTAGAGCCAATATGGGTCAGAGGCCTTTTCTCTATCTACAATGCTACAGAGAGATAGCTAGTGCTAATAAAAGAGGCTAGTGCAGATAGATGTTTAACAACTGTTCTCTGTGGGGGAAAAAAGTATGGGCTGACAGGAGGCACTATTTGCTTGGTGTTTCAAAGCTCATTTATAAGATGATGCCTTTTCAGCTGAGATAGTTTGATGTGCTTAATATTATTATTCATATTCTCTATTTCCAAACCCCAGCAAAATAGTAGCAAGCCCTTACATAATTAAACTGTGAAGGTTACCTAGCAGAGAAAGGCAGGCCCGGCTATAGGGTTGCCCTTGATTTGTCACTGCTAAAGGGGGAGGGGATAAGGTTTACAAATGATTGAATTCCCCACCCCCAATAAGGTCACAAATCCTTTAAAAAAACAAAAAAACCTAGCTCTGAAGCTCTTGTTCTGTCTATAGCAACCCCATGGCCCTCTCTGTTCTCTTCAGTGCCTTTCATCTTATGAAGGAAGGTTTGAATTCCAAACTCTGGAGACAGAAGGTCTGAGTTTCTCCCCAGAGGAGGTTCAGTGGGGACATGAACCACAGAAAATTTCTATCTCCCTTCTGGGAGAAGAATCCCCAGTCCAGGAGTTCTTCAAGTTTTTTTGTGTCATGGACTTCTTGCATAAGTTGGATGGATCCTATGTCTCCCCCCCCCCCGAATGATATTTGTTGCCTACATTGACAATTGAAGAAAATGCTAAATATCAATTAGAATTTAATTTTAATGAATCCCCTGAAAGCTATCTACATTAGGGATCTATGGACCCCAGACTAAGAACCTCTGCTTTAGAGGAAGGGGACATATATCCTTCAGTGATTAGAGGATAACTTTGCCTTCTAAGACTCTTCTCTCCCCCAATGTTTATTAATTAATAATAACTTCAACACTACAAGGTATATGCCCATGGAAGTTAAAGTCCATAAATACTAAATATTCCATAAATACTAAAATAATCAAGCAGCATATTTTGTGATAGCAAGAACTGGAAACAATTGATTAGGGGGTATGGCTGAACAAACTGTGGTATGTGAAGGTAAGGAATATTGTTATTGTGCGGTAAGAAACAATGAGGCAGTATTGCATAAATAGTGAGCCAGCCTCAGGGTCAAGGATCAGGTCCTATCACTAAAGAATACTGGCTGTGTGACCTTGTGCTTAGAAGGGACTAAGCTTTATTAGAGAAGAAATTCTTCACTGGAAGCGCACTGTAGTCATAAAATCACAAGTTAGATAAACATGGGAAGATTTGTATGAACCGATGCCAATACCAGAAAGCAGAAGTGGAGAAGAATATACACAACTACACTTATAAAAAACAGTAACAGGAAGTCAGACTGAGTAATTTTAGTGATTAATCCTAAACAGATATAAAAAAACACCTCTTTCCTTTTGGCAGAAGGAATACAGAGACAAGATATTGGAAACACTGACTAACATAGGCACCTATGTTTTTGCTGAACAAATTTTTATTACGAGGAAGAGTTCAATGCTGTATATGTTTGTGTTTTTGTAGAGGGAGGGGGACGCTCTACCTGAAAATGACTAATGTAAAATCAAAAGGTATCCAAAAATTATGTTTTTAAAAAAGAACAGAAGAGAATGAGGTCTCTAAGCAAAGGCTGGAGAGCTACTTGTTGGACATGTTATAGTGGTTGTTCCTTTTGTGTATGGGTTGAACTTAATAGCTGCTAAGGTCCCTTCCATTTTCTCAAATTTTTTGACTTTATAACCCAAAGAAACTCACTACTGTAGGGGATTCCCAGATTAAGGACATATAGGAAGATAGTGGATTAGAGGTGTTTTGCAAAGGGATTATAGACACGTCACTCAAACGTCTGTCTTCTGTCTCTGATATAGGAACCAGATTCAGTTGATTTGAAAGAAAGTCCATGCATAGGACTTTCTGCTGAGTCAACTGAATCTGGTTCTGACAGGATAAAGAACTAAACTCAAGATCGCTCAGTGTTTTACCTTTGGGAAGAAGACAGAGAGCTAAAAGATATGACTTTGGCTCCATGATGTGTACATACTATCCCATGCCTGCAGCCAGTGTACCTGTACCTGTACGTTTCACCATGGTGTCTTTCAGTTCCCTTCTCTCTCTCCGAAGCTGTGCAAGGTGACTCCGGATTTCTTCCTTCTCCTTCTCAAGCCTCCTTTTTTCCTCTGTGTACCGCTTCACTTCAGCCTCAGTCCTGTTCTTGCCAAGTTTAATTTCTACAGGCGCTGTAATAGAAGGGAGGACACAGTATCACCAGCAAATTTCAACCTCCTTAGAGAGGCCATAGCTGAAGAAACAAAGTTAGAAGCCACCCCGACAGCTGAGATCTTGATGGGACAAGATAGAGAGGTGGTCAAGGATAGAATTTCAGTACCTGCACTTAAGGGACAGGAAAAGGAAGTGGAGCTCTTGAAGAAAAGTGAGAAGAAAAAGTCAGAAAGCTTAGGTAGGAGGTGAATCAAAATAGGGAGGTGTTAAATAGAGCAGCCAAGAGAGAAGACTCCAGGAAGGAGGGGATGTTCACAACCGTGTCAAATACTGCAGAGCAAGATAAGAAGAGGAGAAAGGCCAATGGATTTGGTGACTGGGAGGTTACTGAGAAAACTGCCTGATTGTTCAATCATAGAGCTGGAAGGTACATGGTTCATAGGTAGGAAACCCACCTGCAATGATCCCCTTGGCCTTCTCAGTTTTGTCTTTAGGGGTAGCCACTGGCTGCAGATGAGTCCCTGTTGCTGTGGTGAATGCAAAGTCAGGGACACTCTGGGGGAAAGAGATTTTCTGTTGTTGGGTTTGGATTTTGACACCAGCGCCTCTCAGTGACAGCTCTTCTGATTCAGTCCTCTCGGGTTGTTTCTGCGTTTAAAGAAAGTAATGGTAACTGAGACAATGGGAGGGAAAAGAAAAGAAAACAAGGTGGTTTATTTGCAAGTGGAGTTGGCCAGTACCTGCTCTTCTGCCATTTCCAAAGATTTTCTGCAGAGTTCTGTTTCCCTGTCTCCTGAAGAAGTTTCAGCACTATCTTCTAATTCTGTCTTAAAGACAGCTTTTTCCAAAAGTGGAGAGGAAGGAGGAGAAGGCTGAGCTTTGACATGATCAGGGCCAGGTGGGAAAGACACAAGGGGTGTGAGGTCCAAGTACACTCGATCTAATTCTTCAGATGTGGTTGCTTTCAGAGGGGTGGCTTCTTGTATTTGTTCCACCTGTGAAGGAAAGAGACAATAAAGCAGACACCTGAAAAGTTTCGTGAAAGCTTTTGCCACCTTCTACTTGGAACACTCTGATAAGCTCCTAATTGAATCAAGCCTTCTGTACTACCTGGTCCTGCCAACCCACACCTAAAGTTTGAAGGATTGCCAGTGGGGACAGAAATGCAGCCACCAGGGATGGGATGGGAACTCATCCCTCCCTTGCTCAGGGACTTTAAGATTTCAGGAGAATGAAAAATGTATCTTCTTTATAATATGATTAGAAATCTCGCTGTACTGTAATCCTGGTACTTTCAAAACTGCAGGAAAACATCTCTGCCTCCTAGCTTTGGTGAGATTGGAGATCTCCACCTCCATTTCTGCATTCAGAAGACATGGGCTACTCCTTTAGGCCAATCCCCTAGGATCCAACCTCATTTTCATTCCTGGCTTGGGGCCTGAAAGGGCCAATCTACTGATTTTTCAAGAGGAAAGTTGTCAGAATGCAAGAATTAACTGCTTTCTAAGATCCAATGAATAAACTCTGGGTGTTTAAATGTTATTACTGCCTGTAACCCAAACACATTTGACACCCAGCACTAAAGAGTTGGTTAACCAGTTTGACTACACACTGGCAACCTACAAAAGATTCTTTGCTATCCAGATATCTCTATTCCTGCTGTCATGAGTGGCCCTACAGTAGTATTCCCTCACCATACAGGAAGTCTATGACACTACTTCTCAATTATTCTATTCATCCTTCTTAGACTGACTGCTAAGGGTGCCTAAGATTCCATAGCTCTACAGCAAAAGTGTTCTGTAGAAATAATTCCCAAATCCCTAGGTTATAAATGTGAGTCACTCACCTCTACAGGACGTAGAAAATGGTACAATAAAATGTCAGGAGCTAATATTCATACCCTTCTCGGTGTAACATTTTGAGCATGTCTCTCCACCAATATTGGCATATGGAAAGGAGGAAGCAGTTACCAGTCCCTGCCCCAGAGTATAGGGCTTCCCCTCTGAGGAGCTCCTACCATAGTCATGAGGTAATTTGAGAGACACGAGGTAAAAGGTGAAGGGTGGGTAGGGTTTTGTTGGAGACAAGCTCCATGACTGATGTATATGCTGAGAACTCGCTTCAACTTCTTTACCTATTCTGCATGGCACATGAAAGTGTTCATAAAGTGAGCAGTGCTAAAAAATCTGGATCAATTACAGTATTTGCATACTATTAGGATCACCTCTTTTTGCACACCTGTGAAGAGCAAAAACTTACTGATGCTGGCTCATTTGCATCCAGGATGACTTCATCATAAGGCTCCTCATGCTGGTGACCTTTGGGCAGGTTATCAATATAGGCGTTAGGCTCTGAATACTTTCTCTGCATCAAACTGGAAGACATGGGCGTGAGACATTAGGGGAGAAGGCAGCAGGTGGCCCTCTCTTTGCTCAAAGTGATTATGGGAACATGAACGTTGAAATATTCAGATTCTCTTCAATAGGAATCGATATAATCTAACAAGAGCTCACTCAGCATTCCTTCCTCTTCCTGGATTGAGAGCAATTATAAGGAAGCATACACAAGTCTTATTATTGGAAACTTGAATCTCATATCCTAGGCCTCTTATTTTGTGCATGCGGACAGGAATAGAGTCCAGTCCCTCCAGGCTTGTCCACAATACTGGGCTGAGGGTGCTGAACAGGACTAGAGGAAAGTGTTTTGTTTGTTTTGTCTTGATCTGTTGTTTCATGGGAAGGGTAGGGTAGGGAAGTCCCGGTGAGGGACTTTTAATACCAATATTGGAAGGTATCTCTGCAACTTCTAGTGTTAAAGAGTTTCCTGGGGGACTGAGAGATCAGGTGATTTGTCCACAGTCACACTGCCAGTATGGGTTGGAGGTAGGATGTGAATCCAAGTCTTCCTGACTCCAAAATTAGCTTTTCACACACACACTAGGCCACGCTAAATCACTTTCAATGAGAAATAATGTTACCTGCTTCAAAAGTAACTTATTTATGGCCCTGCTCCAGTTCCATGACAACTGAAAGCCAGAACTGGAATTCGTTCTAGTGTTCCCTTTCCTGCATACACAATCCTGCCTGACACAGGAAGAAGGAAGCTTTTCCCCAGAACTTACAAGAAAGAGGTCTTTGCTGCACTCACAATGCAGGAAACTCGGTCTGCATCCACATAGTCATAGGTGAATTCTTCTGGGTCTGTCTTGGACCCAGACTCAGACAAAAGGAGGCCCAGCCAATGGCCCATTTCCTCAGACGATTTGGCCTGAGAAAGGAGAAAACAGATGTGGCCAATCAAGGCAGCATTGCATACATTCCAGAAGGCCTTTTCACTACCAAGGTAAGGACATTCATTTACCAGGAAGGGTCAGCACATGTGCATTTGAAAAGGATCACTATTCCCCCAAGAGTCACCTTTATAAGCAAATCCTGGCCCAGATGCAAAAATACTATTCAAAGTGCATTACTGGGAAACTTTGCCTTTAGCTTTCCTCTCTTCATAAATATGTATGTGGCACAACATAAAGGAACATTTGGCAACATCACCCATTTGATTTATTATGTGGCTCCATCACCAGGAAAGAATTGCTTGAAAATTCATGAACCTTAGGCTTACGTGACTGGAAACTTTATGATGGCAGGGACAAGATCTTATGTAAGTGTTGCCAAGCCTAGTGCTTTACACTCAGAAGGTGCTAAATGCTGTGTTGTAATGTTAAGTGCATATAATTATTAGCTGAAGACCCTAATCACAGATAAATCTGTATGTAGGCCCCAGGTAGTGCAATAGCTTTGAAATTTCAATACCTTCTAATGAAGTGATAGCCCTGATGGAATAAAAGCAGAATGTCTCACTTAGAGCAAATATTTACCATTGAAACAGAAATCTAAATTCATGATTTTGCTCGTGATTATTCTATGTGACAATACTTTGTAATCACATACATCCACATACTGTTAAAATGTATGTTACATTCTTCTTTAGTGTATTAATAACAATTACTCATCTATATAGCATCTTAAGGTTTACAAAAGACTCAACTCCAAACAACCTTATGCAGGTAGACTATAAGTGATATTTATATGGCTCCTTAAGGTTTATAAAGTATTTTAAATAGGTTAATTTCAATTGATAAGAATAGAATTATCCACGTTTTACAGATTAAGAAACTGAGGCAAAAAAATGTTTCATGGACCCCACAATTTTAGTATGTACAGGAACTGTGACTTAAACTTTGGTATTCTGATTCCCAAACCAGTACTTTGCTGTATACAGTGAAAATCCTTCCATAAATTATTATGATTCCCTCTAGGGAAAGAGGCAGAACAGTTACCACGTAAGCTCTGGCATGACATGGGAGATTAGCAAATCCCAAGCAAACGCTGACAATATAGGTTTTTTTTTTAAAAGGACAGGTATGAGAGCACCCCTGCCCTCCACTTACGGTGTAAATTTCCTGGTTACCTTTCTAAATTCATGTTATCAATACAGAACAAGTAAATTAGAGTTATAATGCCACACAACAGAAGGGGTAGTCAGAAAATTAAGGAATCAAGACTGTGTTTGAACTTGTACCACTAAGGGAAATTGTATGTTATCTTAAACTAAAAGAAATGGCTGAAGATGCAACAGCAGATACTGAGAATGCATCCAATATGGCATTTTCATACATACAGGATCCTGAAACAATTGTATGGAGGCTGTCCTCCCACTAGAGGGCAATATTGGAGCATAATTTTAACAAAAACATCTTTAGGGTTAGGTGGACTTGGGACTAAAAGCACATAAATTATACAGGTACATACAGGTACACCCACCTAACAGCAATTATTGAGTGTTAGATAAGATGACATTAGGCCAAAACAATATTACAGAAGACAGTTAATTTGACAGAAGTGAAGCTAGAACTGCTATGTACGTAACACCATTACAGCAGGATCAGGTGATAATATAGTAAAATTATTGCAAGATGATATTAGTTGGGACAATGCTATGCTAGGGAGGGGCGTGTATGTACACATACATACATATGTATATACACACACACTCTTTAAGGATTCATTTCATCTGGATCCCTTTACATATAATCAATAGACAAAGAAATGCATTATGTGTCAGGCATTACGCTATTAAGTACTGGGAACACAAAAACAAGAAAAACAGTCCTGCCTGCAAGGAGCTTATATCCTAATAAGGGAGACATGTGCATAATATATATGTAAGATATACCAGATAAATGCAATGTAGTTATGGAAGGGAGAGTACTAGCAGCTGGGGGGGGGGGTTGGGAAGGGCTTCTTACAGAAAGCAGCAATGGAAAGGAGTCTTGAAGGAAAAGCCTCTCCACATCTTAGTTGAATCTTCACAAATTACTGAAGCCAAAAAAATTCACTCTTCTTGCCCCACCTTCTAGTGATCTCATCTAGTGACGTCCTTCTCTCACCTCAGCTAATCAGCTCATCAACAAGGATTTATTAAGTGCCTACATACCAGGTGTAAGGGGTTTAAAGACAAAAAAGAAACAGTACCTGCCCTCAAAAAGCTTACATTCTGTGCTCTGACAACAGACCCACAAATCACCCCTATGCCTGTGCCCAGGTGGGGCCTGCCAAAGCTGCACTCCACTGCCGACGCGGCTTTTGAGATTTCAGGGTCACCCTTGTGGAACCAGCTGGTGATACACCAGTTAGGGTTCTGGGCCTGAAGTCAGGAAGAGCAGAATTCAAATCCAGCCTCAGATACTTCCTAGCTGTGTGATCCTTGGTTAGGTTCTTATCTCGGTTTCCTTAATTGTAAAATGAGGATGATAACAGCACCTATCTTGCAGGGTTGTTGTAAGGATCACATCAGATAATAGTTGTAAAAAGTTAGCACATAGTAGGTGCTATTTAAATGCTTATTCCCTTCCCCCGGTATCATAAGGCATCAGAGTGAGATATTAATGAAGAATAGATGGACAGATACATACATACACACATACACTCATGTCCATGATGAGTATATGACAGCATTAGTATGTTCCTTTTTAACCTTAACCTAATAGCAGCATTAGATTGTGTCCCATTTTTGTACTTGTACTTCCTACCCAATGGCAGTGATAGAAGGATGAGGTTTTTATCCAGCAAATTGCATATGTGTTTCTCAAGCCCAGTTATATATCTCAGATCAGCTCCAGTCACATCATTTTTTATTTTACAGACACAGAAGCCTCCATCTGGTGCTGCATAAACTAAATAAACCCCCTTTTGGAATCTCTGGAAGCCTTTTTAGCAGCTCTGGAAGCTATAAATAACTTTTCCACCATAAATGCAGGAAGTCGTTCTCATTGTACTCCTACTTTACCATAACTACCCTGAGGTCAGAAAGGGAGGGATGAAAATTTTTAAAAAATAAAAAAAACAATCTCAGACAAATGTTAAGTAAAAATAATGCCAGGCTATATTTAATTGCCCTTTGCAAGCTTACAGTGCTGTTCTGGATTTCCAGTTAACTCCTGCTACCTCTAAACACAAGCCAGCTCTAAGCCCCTGCCAAGCAGAGATAGTGTCATGTTTTGGAAAAAGCTAGAAAGAAGGTGCCTCGATTCCTCCACTCACTAGCTTTGTGAGCCTGAGCATTCACATGGCTTCTCACAGGCTCTATTTCCTCAGATACAAAATGGGGATAATCCTATCTGTTATCACCTGCCTCACAGGGCTCTTGTAAATGAAATCATGCATGTGAAAAGTGCTATATGTAATTGTAAGCTGCCGTTATCATTGAGCACACAGATTACCTCAAGCACGGCTATCTCCTCTCCATTGTTGAGAATCCGAAAGGAGTAGAGGTGATCGGGGCTGGGATTTGGGATAACTTCGCATCCCACCAGGCTGAGCGGCTGTTGTGCTGATTTAGTGCGGTTCCTGTCCTGGTAGATGTGGAGGTGGCTCTCCTTCACGCAGCACCAACGAGATTTCCACTGGCTGTTGACCAGGACATTCAGGTAACCTACCAGGAAAGGACCGTCTGTAATAGGGGCAGAGTCATTCACATCCAAGCCTCAGTCCTGGGAATACAGAGTCACTTCATTGGACTTGTATCTAAGGAGCACCATAGTAATCATTACGTATGTGTGTGTGTGTGTGTTTTCTGTGGGTTTGGATTTTGAAGGAATGAGAATGTGATTACATTTATGTATTACTTTTATAGGTATACAGCACAGCATGGCCAAAGAGTCCTGAATTTGGAATCCGAGAATATGGGTTCAAGGGTGAAACCACAGCTAGTATTTTTCAGGTCACATTAGATAATAAAACTTAGAAAGGATCTTAGAGATAATTTTTGACCAACCCTCTCATTTTATAGAGGAAGAACCCAGAGACCCAGAGAGATTAAGTGACTTGCCCAAAGTCACATAGATAGCAAGCAGCAAAGGTGGAATTTGAACTTTAGTCTTCTGCATCCAGATACAGGATCTTCTGGTCCTTGAGTTTTTTCTCTAAAATGATAGTGTCATACTGGATAAATTGTTTCTAAGGTCCCTTTTATTTTAAAGCTATGATCTGTGAGTGGGAAGTATATTGTGCCTAACATTAGACAATACTGAATAATAACACAAAATATAAATGGACTGAGCCATGAGGAAATAACCTGGGCAGGGGGGTGAGGCTCAGATGTGAATGTTGCCCCTCTGAAAACAGATTTAAACTGATTTGATTCTTATCCCAAAGCTGTTCTTTGCTTACATAAGCAGTTGGTTGGTGGAAAATCCTCTGTCTAATAGAGAGATGGCCCCTATTTCCTGCTCTAAATCTCCCTTCCCATGGTTTTGGTGAGGTCATCAATTTCTTTTAATAACAGTCTGTGTGAAGCCCCTTAACCTCTTAGCTGCCAGCACAGGAAGTTCTTTAAGTGTGTCCCACTCCCTACCCCACTCATTCTCTCCCAACGTCCACACAGATGTGCTTTTCTTATCAGGCAAGTGACTTCCCTGTCCCACAAACACACCTTCATCATTCTGGCCCCACATGCCTTGTGCTCATAATGCTGTTTCTTTCAAGAATACCCTCCTCTTTATCATCTATCCAAAGCCTAACTTTCAGATCTTAACTCAATTGCCACCTCCTTCATGAAGTCCTCCAGTTGCTCCAGCTCTCAATCAGCACTGACACTTCCAAGTCACCCAGCTTAGCACTTAATCAGATATACTGTTTCCTTTGTATTCTCTATATCTTAGTGTTGTGTCCAAAACCAAACCATAAGCTGAGCTCCTTGAGGCAATGGCTGTCTCATCCTTCCATATCCCCAGTATTTTCTAGTCTTGTCCTCAGGGAATTGTGGGTGTTCATTGTCTAATGAACAAAATAATCTCTCTAAGACATTTTGATCATTCTTAAAGTCATTTTGCAGATACTATAACCTTGGCTAGAAACAGGGTCATAAGCCTAGCACTTCTGTTCAATGCATCCCATTCCCTTCCTGGGCCAAGATGAAACATGCTCAATTTATATATCACCCAAAGTGGAAGCTAACTGAGGTCACGATGCTAATCCTAACTAGAAACTAGAGGGAAATTAATGGGAGATGGGAGGGTAGTGCTTTTCAAACCTTAAAGCACTCACTGTATAAATGCATGACATTATTATTATTATTAACTTATGCCAGTCTATTCTAAGGATTAGCCAAGCCCTGGGAAGGGTAGCTACTTTGTTCTCCCTAGGGCTTTCCATCTCCTCTGGGAATGGAGGGACATTTCATTGCTGAGCGTACTTCCAGAAATAACACTGCTACAACACCCAGAAACAATGACTCACTGGCACTATTCTCATGTAGCACCAAACCATGCCCTCTGGGGGCTGTACCCGGAGATGATGCAGTATCTACACAACTAAACTGGCACCAAGCAGCACAAAACACCCTTGCTGGGAAAACCACATGGTCTCCAAAAGCAAGGTCAGGTTCTCAACCCAGTGTAGTGCCCATTTTCGACATCCATGAACTCTGGGAAAAGTAGTTTTAATGCTTGGAACAACACCTAGACCACCGTGGACAAAAGATAATAAACAAATCAATGATAGGTAATGAGAGATTAAAAGATTAAAGGGAAAGAAGCTTTATCTTATGAAGAAAGGTGAAATGTTTGGGCTAAGAGAGAGCCAAGGACTAATGGGAATTACCTTCCACTACTACAGCCTCCTAGAAAGAACACTTGTCTGAGAATGCTGCATACCTCATTCTAGTCTTAAGAGTCAATCACTAATTTCATAGGATCATAGGATTTGGAGCTGGGGAAGACTTTGGAAACCAACTCAATCCAATGTCACCCATTTTAGAGATGAGGAAATTGAGGCCTGGAGGAAAGAAAGTGTCTTGCCCAAAGCAAGATGGGTTTTCAGTAGCAGAGCTGGAATTTAAACTCCTTTGACTACAAATTTAGTGCTTTTTCCAACACCTCTGAAAATGTCAGTTTCCACATCTGAAAAAATGAAAAGGTGTAGCTATGGTACAATGTCCTGGGAATCAGAAAAAAACAGATTATAGCCTTGCTTCCACTGCTATCCATCTAATCCCAGGCCTTTCCTCTTGGATCCTGTTTCTTCATCTGAAAAAGAAGGGGGATTAGATCAGGAACCTCTAATGGAGCTTCCAGTTCATGTTAGAATGTTAGGATGTTACCTCCAATTCTAATACTTAGACAAAAGCTTCATTACAACTAAACTTATCCACTTCCTTTGCCCTAAGGATGCCTTGTGCCCTTCCTACTTCATTACAAGTCTTTGGCTCATAATTTCCATCATCAAATGCCCATTCACTTCCATAAAGTCTTCCCTCAGGACCCCAGTCAAAAAATGATCTCTTCCTCCCCTGAATTCCTATGATGTTTATTGTCAGTACCACTCAAATGGCATCTATCAAATACTGCTCTTTAATTGTAGCTTTTGGTAAATGTGTCTTCCTGCCTTGCCAGATTAAAAGCTTCAAAGACCTTTATTTCTTTGTAGTTCTCATAAAAAAATGCACATATATATGATGCTTTAAGGTTTACTTTCCTCACAGCCACGTTGGGAGGAAAGGAGTATAAATATTATTCCCACATTACAGATGAGGGAACCAAGACTTAGAGAAATGAAGTAAGTAGATAGGAACAGATTCTGAGCTGCAAGATGCCTTAGAAAATCACCTAGCTCAACCTCTTCCTTTTATAGCTGAGGAACCTGGGACTCAGAAAGGTTATTATGTGATTTGCCCAAGGTTACAAAGACAGGATCTACCAGGGACAAGATTCAACGGCAGGTTCCGACTCTAAATTCAGTTTCCTTCCACTAGACCATGCCTCCCTCTAAGTTCCAGGTGAAGCTCCTACAGGAGGCAGATAGCTCTGAAATGGGACTTCAACTAGGGCTTCTAATGCCAGCTTCAGTGCTCTTCCATTGGAAAATGCCTTTCTCTCCAATGCTGCTTCTTAAGCCCTTTTTACAGTGCTTTCTGTGCTTAAGAACTATTTGCTGAATGAATGAATAAATGTATTGAATGTATTAAAGTTCTTAGGAGGTTGCTGGCCAGTTCTCTAACTCTGCAGAGAACTGAACAGAAAGTATATGATAAAATTGCAGCAAGAGAAAGGTCTTTTAAATACATGGAAAGGGGCTGGATCTGTGAGCAATATTTCACTGCACTAGAAAATGCCCTGGTGAGTGAGTACACACTACCACTGCAGGTCAGCACCTTCCAGTCTCAGCGTTGTGCCAAGTACTGTGAGGTGAAGTGACTTGCTAGAGGTCACATGGCCAGTATGCATCAGAGGTTGCACTTGAACTCAGGTCCTCCCGACTTCAATCCTAGCTCACTATCCATTAAGCCATGTCTGCCCCTCTGGTTAGATGTTTAAAAAAAAGTTTATAAAGATGGTGAAGGAAAAATGGAAGAGACCACCATGGGAGAGTGGGTAATCTTTATCCCTAGAGATGCAGTAAATTAGGAATAAATAATACTCTGTCTTAGATGACTTAATTGTTCACCTGCCTGTTGGCAGGGGGCCTGACCCATTGACCTCTTTAGGTCTTTTCCAGCTTTAAAAGTCTGTGATTCTTACTGGATGTCTCCAGAGACCTCTCAGCATTCTCCAGTGAAGTGGATTTCTTCCTCCCCAGGTTCATCAAGTTGCTCAGTTTGAGGCCTGCTGTACCTTTCTTCTTAACTAACAAGAATGGGGAGAAGAAATTGGCATCACACAAATCACACAAACAAACCCACACCCAAAGCCCATCAAAGAGCTCAGAGATTCCCTTCTTGTTCTTTCTCACCTCACAAAAAGCTATAGGCCAAGTGAGTTCACACAGATGTCTCCCTACTGACATGGACAGGACATGGGAATCTTTTAGGAATATATTGGCTAATAACAGAGAATCCTTAAAATTTTTAAAGATAATTAGCTGGGATAGATGAAAAGTTATCCATGTTATCTCAAAAACAAACAAATATGAACTTAATAGATTAACAAATTGGAGGCAATACTGACCCCCACCCCCAACTCTGTCTGTACCATCCCCTGGGAGTAGGTTGGTAAATGACTTCCACTTGAGCCCATCTACCTGTCACCCTGGAATGCCATTTCCCTCACCATCCCACGGGGCAGGAACTCTGTTACCATCTTTGGTCTCTGTGGTCTCAGGATGACCATCCATACTACTCCCACATTCTGGGGCTGGCAGGTATTTCTCAGCTATATCTTGCTGTCAGTGAGAAAGAGAAAAGACAAGCGTAACTATATGCTGATATTAGTTAATACCTGGATAATTATCTTGGGAAAAATCATTTTCCCCACTGTGAGCTAATGATAATCCTACCCACGGAGCAGATATAAATTCTATTATCTCCTCCAACTCTAAGGCTCAAAGACCTGGACCCTGAAAGCTTTCTACTGTGTCTTTTGAAGTTTCCCTGAGTTTGTTCCATTGTTCTCCTGCCTTTGGACCCCTCAAATTACCAAACCCATTTTTCTCCTTAGTTCTCAAGTGTACAAAGGGACTAGTTGACACTAGGAAAAAAAGTAACATTCAAAGTGATTTTGTCCATACTTGCTGCAGGAGAGTAGAGCAGGCAGATTGTCTTAGAAATTAAATATTAGTTAATATCCCAGTGGATGCTGAGAAGCCAGCAACCATCAATAACAACAAAGTGAATAACAGAATCTATTTCTAATTGTGCTGCTCTCAATATGTTAAGGTATTTACACAAAGAAGTGCAAATATAATCATATCTAGTGGCTTCATGGACCAGCCTTCAAATAATAAGGTTTAAGCTTCTCTTGCACTAATTTAAGGAAAAAAAAATAGGGATCATTCCACTCGTCTAACTTGAGAACTGGGCTATTCTAAAAGCATCTAGAAAAGAAGCCAACATTTATAGCTCCCCAAATAAAGAAATCAACCTTCAGTGGAAACAACTCCAATGATCTTATATCCAAGGTAATTCCTCTCTGTGGCAAAGCAGAGATCCTTTTTCTAGGCTTGGTTTTGGCATGGATTCTCTATTTGTGGTGATGGCTTAATGTATGCCTATTTTTTCATTCCCCCTCCCTCCCTTCAGCAATGTCCTTGTTCTTATTTATGGCATCATACATTTTTCACTGTGAGCACTCTTTCCACCAGACCCAGATCACAACCTCTTATCACAAGAGTCAGTCTTTGTTATAACTATAAAAAAATAACTACTTGGGGGCCAACCTTCTGGTAATGGCTCTCTACAAACTTAATCAGGCTGGTCCTCAGGCAACAGACATATTGTTTATCACCAGACCGACCCTTGTACCCTTCCCAACTTGGTGGGCTTAACCAGATTATAGATCTTACTGGCATAACCTTTAAGAACCTAGGATTAGCTTCACACCCCAATGAGGCACGTGAGTAGGACTTTAGTAGAAGTCCCTTCAATGATAAGGAAATAATTATAATAACTAATAAGGAAAGTTTTAAAACCTTATTCCAATTCATAAGAAAGGCAGGGAGAGGGGGTAATCATCAGTTTTTGATAGATACCAGGGTAAAAAATATCACAGAAGTATAAAAATGTTCTGTCAAAAGGATTATTGGCAACTTCTAGCCTCCAAATCCTTGATATACCCTTTTCCTTCCATGTCAGATAAAGATGAGAAAAGCCAGGATCATAGAGAGTGAGTCTTCAGCTCCAGACTCACTCCATTTGCTCTCACCACAGGAGCTAAGTGGGATGCCAAAGTTACATGGTTAACTGGACCTACTCCTTACAGTCAGGAGATCAAACTAGGCTGCCCTGGGCTCCTGTCTTTTAAGTTGTCTCAGAGCAAATAAGAGCCTTTATTTCTGATAAACACTTAGGGACACTATTCAGTTTTCACTGGGAGAAAACAGCCACACAAAATAAATTTCCCAATTTAAGAATCTAAAACAAAGTTAATATTGTTCCAATGAAGCTTTTTTTTCCTCAAGCAAGAAAATACTTTAAGTCTATATCCATTTCATTTGTTTTTTAGCCAAGATAAAGTCACTGTGCTTATCCAAGCATAGCATGTTTCTTATTAATTGGACTGAAATGCAAAAACAAAGCTCCCAATTTTACACTTTCATTTTAAGAGAGAAAAAAAAAGAATTAGGAATCTCCTCTGAAGAGAGGAGCTAGGCTTACTTTCTGACAGTTGAGACGCTGAGCTTCAGGGGTGTACTGGTTTCCTTCAAAAATTCCTTCAGAGGGCAAGCCACTGACCTCTTGGATGACCTGAGTAGGAAGAGAGGAGCAAGTTAGTGGGTCAGACTCAGGACCACACTTTAGCTGCTCCTCACTCATGTTTGTTCACTGCCTGTACTTTGGTTCAGTCATAACTAGTACCAGAGATCCTAGGAGTCTCTTGAGAATGGACAGATGGTGGTGTATTAAATGATTTTTCTCCCAGGTACCTGAACATTTCCATGCTATTCCAGGAGCAGTCCCAAATTATACCTCACAACTCTAGAAACTCTGAATTTTTTTAGCTGGGAAAGATTATTAGGGTTCTCAGACCCCATACGATCATGTTAAAAGATGGAAGAGGGGAGCATATTGCCAGGAGATTTAGGTTGTAGGGAATGAAGTCAAGTCAAGCTAATCCTAGTCACTAACATTTTGAGTTCTGTGGTTGGTACAACACAAGTGAAAACTTTTTGCCAGAAATGGGCCTGCTACCAGGCATTGTGGTCTCCACTACTTTCTGTTAATAGTTCCTTTGTGGTTTCAATAAATTTGCCACATTTCCTGAATAGCCTCCTTCTTCTTTTTAGTATGTTGGAACCCTCTCTATGACATGGTCTTATACCCAGTTAAGGAGAGACAGTGAAACATTTTCCTTAATATCCTCACTAGAGTCTGCTTCTTCCTCTAGGGAGGAATTTCTTTATTTGTGGCTAAAGGGTTGAATTGGAAATACAGAGAGAAGCAATCAGGCTGGCTGGCCCTTTGACCTGCAGATGCTAGGACTTTACAGGATGACCAAAACCAGAGCTATTGCTTCAAGGGAGTTTCCTACAGTCACCTAATCCTGTGCTTTCTGGTAACACTCAAATTGAGTTACAGATACAACCAGAGGCAGTCATTCCACACATTTATGTATATAGGATTCACCCCAGATGCAGAATTGCTTAAAGAAAAGAACCTCCTTCATCCCTGGTCCTTCAGCTCCAGCGAATCCACTGGAGATTGATTTTGAACCAGCTGAACTTTTTTGATTCTGAGAGTTAAGTGAGAATGCTTCAGGAAGGGCAAAATCAAACCTTAGGTTTATTTCATTGACTGATAACAGTTTGGGATTCTGGTAGCTCAAAGCTACAGATCATCATGCAGATTACAGTTCCTCCCAGTCCCTGGGAGAAACACTCATAAGCTGAATCTCATTCAGTTCTAAGAGCCTGGTATGACAACTGGCTGCTACTGCCTTCAGCTCTGGGCACTCTATTAGACTTAAGGTGTCTCCTGAATTTTCTTCATTTGTTTCGGCGTGTAAAACTGAATCTTACTGTGAGCCAAAGTCTGCCCTCCCTCCTTCAGCACTCCCTCCCTTCCTGGCAGTCCTCAGCCCGGGGCTTCCTCTCCCAATTCCCAACTCTCCTCCCTGGGGCCCCTTGAGCTCCTTCCTCCCATGAGCCTCCTCTAGATTCCCAGATGTTTTTCTTCAGCTGATACTTACTCAGGCTTCGTTCTGAAACAGTAAGCTAAGTGTTTTCTTATTGAATTTCCAAAGGAAAACAGGGCGGGCAGTTGCCCTCTGAAAACTCCTGACATTTCCCTCTCTTCCTTGAATGTGTCTGGGGGTAAGAAGGGACTGAAAACCAAAGGTTTCGCCTTTTTAAACTGGTTGGGATACATTGCCTGACATCTTCCCCACTACCTGCCCTCTGATCTCTATACACATCTCCACTTGCTCCAGTAACAACCACAGAGCCTGCCAACATGGTCCCACCAGATTAGAATGGAAGAGGTAAGGGTCTCCTGGTCTCTGTCTACCTGGACTCTCTCAGATACATATGAAGAGTGCTAAGTGAAGTTTCTTTTTTTTCCAACCACAGAAAAGCTTACTACTGAAACCTCAAACAGTAAGCATGCTTTTATTCCAGGGAGTCTTAATCTGAGGCCCACAGCCCACTGGATATATTTCAAGGATTTTGTGATCTTGATTGGGAAAAAAATCTTTATTTTCACTAACCGCTAACTGAAATTTAGCATTTTCTTCAATTATTTAAAAAAAAACCCACTATTACTCTGAGAAAAGGCCTATAGGCTTCACCATACTACCAGAGGGGGTCTATGGCCAAAAAGAAGGGCTAGAACCTCTGCCCTTAGCCTGTCAGTACTTCAGAGGGCCACCTGGAAGAAGCAGATGGGAGAAAAGCAATTATATGTTACTTAAAGGCACTAAGAACTACGCCACGTGAATAGAGCCCAATTAACCATGTGGCTAGGAAGGGGTCTCACTACTACCTCTAAGCATTTTTACAGTGAGGAAAGAAGATCCTCCTGAAAATGTGATTTAAGAAAAAGCAATGCATTTGGAAATAATTCCTCTTTGACAATTATGTGCTCTTACTCTGAACACAACCTGGTATAGGGCTTAAAAGAGTATGGAGTTAGTGCGCCTGGGTTAAAATCCTGCATGACCTTAGAAGAGTCACTTAAATCCTCCAGGGCTCAGTTTCTTCATATGTACAATGAGGGGGGAGGGATAGACTAGATGAACTTGGAGGTTCCTTCCTACTCTGGCTCTGTGATCCTCTGAATGTTATCAATCAAAACTAACTGATGAACTGGGGCTCTCCCTGTCCTTTCTCACCCCACTCCATTCTAAATTCCTAACTTCAGTCACCCAAAACATTTTTGACCCTGAAGAACCCCTCAGAACTAGGCTGCATTCCAGCGCTCTCCTATTTTTTCTCTTTTTGCACATTATTTGGCACAAATGCTGGTAAATTTGGAGTATGTGGGGTGTGGGGAAGTGGCATTCTCTTTTTCCCAGGAAGGCACTTTGCAAGGCCTCAGAAACAAGCCTTCCTCCCTTCAAACTCTGAAGTAACTGAGTATTGACAGTTGGGGAGCTAGTGCCTCCAGCAGATGTTGTTTTCTGTTGCTTTTTAATAAGGCAATGGATGTTTAAAATTGCAGTTTGCAAAACCTCCGCAGTGCTTTCCAAGTCGGTTACATCCAGCAAGCTGCAGGGGGATGCTTCTTCTAAATAGAGACACTTCTAATTGGCAGCACACACAAAGCGAAGGGAAGGAGAGATGGAGAAAAAAAGGGAAGAGTGGCTTTTGGCCAAGATTCTTCAGAGTGCTCTCATCCAGGTGCCAGTTAAGGCTCAAGCTAGGGAGTATCCTTTGGAATCAAGAGAAGGGTAAGAGTAGGATTGTGTCTTTCCTCCTTCCCTGTTGCCAATCACAGTGAGGTTTGTTTGTTTATGGAACAGTAACAGCTCGGACACTGCTTCTTCTTCACATCAACAGCAACAACTAGAAGAAGCATTTACCAAGCTCTAATAGGTGTATGCCTTCAGTAGGGAAATAAGTGGCTTGTCATTGCCTAGGAGATCAGAATAGCTAACTACTCCTCGTGGCATTCAAGACCCTTCATCTGGTACCAGCCTACCTTCTCCAACCTCATCTATCACTGCTCCCCCCCTGCCCCTCCCCCCTACTGAGTACCTTCTGCTTGAGGGAAGCTAGCTGCTTCATTTTTAGCATTCCTGCTGTCACATCTTCCTTTGGGTTCTCCCAATATGTAGCACCTCCCACACCCTCGACTTCTTATCTAAACCCCAACTTCTTCATGAAGTCTTTCTCAGTTACTCTGTCAAATAATAAAAGGATTCCCCGTAACACTTATTATCTATACAATATATTCTGACATCTTCTTATATTTAAATATACATCATCTTGTATTCTTTAGTCAGTTTATATGAAGTATCTTTTGTCCCCTCCAACTATGTTATAGTTTCTTTTTTCTTTTTTTTTTCTTTTTAGACAATTGGGGTTAAGTGACTTGCCCAGGGTCACACAGCTAGTGTTAAGTGTTTGGTCTGAAGCCAGATTTGAACTCAGGTCTTCCTGACTTCAGGGCCAGTGTTCTATCCACTGCACCACCTAGCTGCCCCTACATTATAGTTTCTTGATCTCTTACTATTGTATCTTATAGGTTTATCTACTGAATTAATATTTTCTGAATTAAATTTAACTTTGTGGCTGAAGAGGTAAGAGGCAAATCAATGAACTATATTAATACCACTATGATTACAACCAAAGAAACATTCCCAGCTCCTCTAAGTTTTCTTTTTCTCTCTTTTTTGAACATCAATTGGAAGTGCTAATAGAGTTAGAAAGGAGGTGGCATTTCATTTTGTTAGAGAAGATATTTTGCAATTAAGTGGATTAGAGATTATATGCCTGCCCAGGGGTATTACTAGGGAATAACAGAGTGAGGACACACAGCTTACTCCCCTTCCCAATTATTCCTGCAATGATTTTTCTTGAAGAGCCATAAAAAACTGATGTGTGACTTTCATGAACAACATGACACTAAAATTGAATGATAGAATATGTGAGAAACATTCCCCTCTAGAACCCTTCCTCATCCCCATCTCTTAAGGTCAGGAGTAGGTTCAGACCAGCTCCTAGGTCCAGACCATCCACAAATTCTCTCCCTCTTAGCTCTAGCAGAGACTGCCTCCAGTATTAAAAAGTACTCAGCATGTCACTGCACCAACCTGTTGTTTCTTGTCAATGGAGTACAGAGGTGTCAATGCACAGGCAGTTTGTGTTACTGCTTGGAACTAAGGTTCTTAAGTAGAAAATGAAATCTGTTTACTATTTAGACATGTTTTGTATACGTGAAGGATTTGGGGAAAGGAGAACCAGGTAGGACCAAAACACAATTACGTGGGACAAAATTACCTTGTTTTTGGTGGAGGTGGGGTCTCAAATCATAACATAACAAGATCAGGTGAAGGCACCAGGACTATTTAGCCTATTCAAGAGAAGATGTGGGAGGTGTACTCAATCATCTAAGGAACTTTCATGTGGAAGAGGTATTGGACTTGTGTTTGGCCCCAGAGGGAAATGAGTGGAAGCTGTAGACAGGAAAAATTGAGGAGCTTGACGTAAGGAGAAAACTACCTAACAACTAGAGGTACCCCAAAATAGAATAGGTTGTCAAGGAGGTGGGGGGTAGGGACGTCTGGAGCTCACTCTCACACTAGTAGAGGTCTTCAGGCAAAGCTGGACTACATTTGTTCAGGTGTTACTGTGGAGGGGATTCTAAGTCAGTTATAGTCTGACCCAGATGGTCTCTGAGGGCCCTTCCTACTTTTTGAGAGATTTTGTGAAAACGTGACTCTAAGATGGAATGTTATTAAATCTGTCTTTCCTCAAAGCCCCAAAAGTAAGAAAGCAGTTCATAGCCTGCTGCCACCTCCACCAGCACTGACCCCCAGGGAACACTCAGGGACCCTGGAGCTCTCCTCACCCGGAGCCACTGCTCTGCCTGGTCCTTGCTCTGCAGTCCCAGGACGATCACATCAGCATTTGTTGGCGTGATCTTCAGGTTGTGCTCTTTCTTCCTCACTTGTTTCTCCTTGTAGATGACATTACAGCCTACCAAATTTACGTCAAGCTGGGGGTTGTGGTCCTTGGAGGATTTGTAGCACTGGAAACAAGAAGCCAGAATTAAAAGGTGAAAACCACAAAAAGCAGGACCAACCATCACTTTTGGAAAATCCACCAAACCCACCTTTATGTTATGAAACCAGGAAATTTACTGCCTACCAAATCAGGCTCAGATAATTGGTCTTTTAATATTAGCATTTCTATGTTACCATGTAAATGGCTTTATGGGAAAGATGATCACTTTCCCATCCCCCAAGCTACTCTTTCCATCACCTTCAGTCTCTTCTACTGTTTTATTCTCTATAACATTACTTCTTGCCTCTCCTTTTCACTCCAACTATTTTCCTCATACCTTCCCTGCTACCACTATCTTAGCATGTAATGTCTACAGGTCAATGTAAAGTAGTAAAAATTTTAATCCTAAACTAGCTTTTCTCTATTTCCCAATAAAATGTGGTTAACTACCCCTGTGATCAGTGTTGTGGGTTTAGGCAATATAATCTAAGTTTAATATTAGCCTGAATAAAACTTAATTGGGCAAAGAAGGGAAACGAAAAAGCATCTCTCCCATTTCCTTACAGAGGTGGGGGACTCTGAGTGTGGAAAACTGCATTTAATGTCAGACTTTTTCTTGATGTATTGATACTTTTTCTGAACTGGTTTTTCTTTTTCTCTTTGTTATTCTTTATAATGAGGTCTCTCTGGAAGAGGGAAGGGAGGGGATGTATTGGGAGATGCAGGTGATAAAAAACAAAAGATATCAATAGAATTTATTTTGATAAAAGCTAATTGGGAAGGTTAATATACTAGAAAATAAAAGGTCATTCCCAAACTAAAGCTAATAGATTTTTATATTGTCCAGTGTTTGGGGAATATCCCTACAATGTCTCCCCTCTGCTACATTAAATGATGTCTATATACTAAGCCAATTGGGGCTGTATTATTACAAATAATATAAAAGAATTAATAATCTAGTAAGGGTTTTTGTTGTCACAATAACATTTCCTGTGATGCCTTGAGCAGGCACCAAATTAAAATAGTAAAGTGGCTAGAAAGGTGTACAAAGTCAGGGAGTACAAAGTACAAAATCAGGGAGAAGCAAAAGGGCGATATAAGGAAAGGTAGCCATGGCATAACAGCAATCTTCATGTACATCAGCCAAGTCCACACCTGGCAACAGATACTAATATAAATCTTATTGGTCTGCGCTAAAGTGACAGAAACAGCTGTCACAAGCCTGAATCTCAAGAGATGTTAGTTATCGACGTCTCCTTCTGCCAAAGGGGGAAAAATAGGACTAATGATTCACGTTAGGTATAAAACAGTGTTTTGCTGACCAATAATCTGTTGTCCTTAATGACACACAACTGCTTGGCCCACTGCCCCAGCCACTTCTTCCTCCATAGGAAGGCACAGATGCGGGCATCCTTCATCAGCTCAATGGTAGCTTCTGGGGATGGCCATTGGTGGGGCGTTGACTTGCTCTTGCTGCTTTCTTCTTCATCATACGATTCATAGGAGCTACTCACGGGTTCACCATCGTCTGTAAGGAAGACCAGCTTAGTCACAGTCTGTCTGTCTTGGAAGTGAGAAGATTGGCTCTAAGCATGCTTTGTTCAGGCAAAGGACAAAGGGAACCAGGCCATTACACATTCAACAGCCAGAAGCAACTTCAAAACTAGACAGTGAGCAAGGTGTCCTGGATCAGAAGTGGATTCCAATTATGGCTTTTTGATTCTGTTGGCTCTTTGCTCTATTTTGTCTTCAGATGGTAAGATTCTTTTAGCTAGAAACCAGAAAGACTGGAGAGAAACCTTTTCCTCCCCAATTCTATTGGTTTCAGATTCCAGAAAGCACTGATCAAACATGTGACATTTGTGCCCTTTCTGAGCCTTAATTTCCTCCTCTGTAAAACAAGGAGGCTGGACCGGTTAGGCAGCAAGCAAACGTTTACTGAGCATTTACTGTATGCCAGGGACTGTACTAATTTCTGAAGATAAAAAACAAAGCAACCTAAAATGGAAATTTTTTTTATATATACAAGTATATGGGTGTGTATATGTATATATATTTATAAGATGTGTATATGTATATTTATGTACATATACATATGGCTATACATATAGCTGCACACACATGAGCATGTATATATTTCACTTTATGTGCATATAACTCAAAATTATTATTTACTGTATTTAATAATAATCATTTTCAAAAGCTTCCCTTTCCCCAAACTAAGTGATCTTTAAAGATCCATTCTCACTCTCAACATTAATGGCTCTGTTTCAGGAAGGAAAGAGAGACAAACCAAAAGCCCTGGGGTGACCTGGGAATATGACAAAAAGCAGTGTTTATCTAACACCTAGACTGAAGGCTCATCTTTCTCAGGCATGGTTTGGCTTGACCCATTTCAAAACTGCAGATACAAAGAAATAACAGGCCAAACTATAGTAGTAAACGGTTTTATGGGAAAGATGATCACATTCCCATCCCCTAAGCTATTCTTTCCATCACCTTCAGTTTCTTCTACTGTTTTATTCTCTATAACATTACTTCTTGCCTCTCCTTCCCACCCCAACTATTTTCCTCATACCTTCCCTGCTACCATTAGTCTCCCTTCCTCTCTCCCTTCTTCCTTCATCCTGTTCTCAAATCCACCAATGAGGCAACCTGGTTTTAAGACCTCCAAATTAATTAGTTCACAAATTCTCCACCTATTCCTAGCCATGCTGTACTCATTTAATCAGTTAATAGAATTTTACAAATTGGCTCAACATTAAGAAAGACTTTTTAATGATGACAGCTGTCTGAAAATGGAAAGGGCTGCCTTGTGAGGCATCTAAAGGTGTTTGAACAAAGCCTAATGGGTAAAGATTGGCTAGGTGACCTCCAAGGGCCTATGCAATTCTACTCCAATGGTATATTATAAAAGAAACTGAAGTAACATAGTAAAGTAGTACTTTACACGCCTTGGATAACATTTAGGACATTAGTATTATTATAACTACCAGGGCCTATTAGTAATGGAGAGCAATGACAGTATTCCTAGAAGCAGAATTCAATATGCCACAAGACTCTAAGAATGGAAAATAAAGCTATCCTCCACTATGTAGTTATTTAAGGCCATCATTATGAAAGGCATTTAAAATGTGGTCTCCCATTTTCCCAGTCTCCTCCCTGGACTCTCTTAGGAATATGATGGGCACATGCCCCTTAGGCTATAGAAGCAAAGTCAACCAAGAAGGGCAGAAATAACTATTAGCAAGGGCACAGTAATAAGGGGCAGGATGGAGACATGCATCTGGACAGAGAAAGGGACAGTAATGAATACTCTTTCTGACAGTTAATAACATTTCCCAAAGTTTCTCTGCAAGGATACAAGGGTATAGCATTCCAAATTCAGAAAAGGGCAGTACCCAAGGTGATTGTGGCATAAATGATTCCTTCAGGCACCTGCACCCATTTTGGGATCCCAGTGGTGGAAAATGTACCAGAATGACCTGTACAATATTCAGAAGGAAAAAGGGCATGGGGTGGGGAGAGGAAAAGAAAAAGAGAGTCACAAATGGTATGATTAAGGTTTCAAATAAGAATAGTAGAGCCTGGTTTCAACTGAAAACTGTCCTGTCGTCGGGATGCTGAGGGTGCACTAACAACTTTTTACTTCATTCAGTGACACACTTAACAGTGAGTGATCAGGCATGCACAGAGAAATAGATACATCAAACCATTCCAAGTTTCAGGAAGTCAACAAAATTGCTTTCATTCAGTGCAGGTGAAGTCTTATGGATCAACGTAGCATGACAATTGACACTATCATATAATCTTTAAATTAGGCACAAAGAAAATCACAAATATGGATGGTCAATTCATTAAAAGGCCAATTTTCAATCTGAGTACATATCAACATCATTTTGAAGCACTTTGACTATTTATCTCCCAAATCCATCTCTCAATTCTGACTCTTTCTTGACAGCCAACAGAGCTTGAATTTCTCCCATCCACCTTGCAATTTTAACAAGTCCTCCCTGTGTAATTCTGGTTGCCTACTAAGTTAGTAATACCCAGATCAATTACGATGTCCTTGTGATGACCCAAACTCTCACTGTAATTAATTAATCCAAATTCACTGAACCGTGATGAACAACAGGAAGCATGAGTCTAGCATTTAAGTCTTTCTAAACCAAAGTCCATGACGAAGTGTTTCCATTACGAAGAGTCTCACCTCCTTCCAACCCCCTCTGCCCAACTCTCTGGGAGTCAGGCACAAGCTGCTACTTGCCAGGAGAAAGAAGATTATCTAAAATATGGAGGTGGATGCTCCAGTGAGTCACCATTTCAGCCTGCTAAGGCGCCCCAACCTGCGGGTTCTTGATTTACCTTGTCTCATCTCACCTGTCAGACACTAACAAAGCATCCCTGAGCTTTGGTGTGAAATTGCAGCCCAGACCAACTGTTTGAAAAAGTATCAGATGTTCAGCACATCTATTACAAACAGACATCTAACCATAAGGCCACCACTTTTCGAATTACATCAAACAAAACTGGGATCCCAACTTTCCAGAGCCTAGAACCAGATGGTAGGTGAAAACACAGTACTAGAGAAGCAGAGGTAGCCATGGAAAACACATTTCCACTAAATGCTGAAGAAGACCTATTAAAACTTTAACAAATAAATGTGTTACAGGGAAGTCTGAAGGGGACCTGTCCTCTAACAAGATCCATTATGGTTACCTGCTGGCCTATATAAATGTCTCCTCACAAACTCACCAAAAGAGGTAGACAGCTGATCTATTTTAAGCTGCAGCATCTCAGAAGGATATAAGATGCATTATAGCAAGGGTCAGATATCCTTACCCTTAAAGCCTCAGCTGGAAAGCAAAGAATGGGGAATCAGGGAAAAGAGTAAAGGAAAGAAGAAGTAGAGAGAAAGAAGCATGGAGAAAAGGATGACAGGCATGGTAGCTGGGTAGTGGTTGGGAAAGAACCCACAATAATCACCTCTCGTGTTCCCTCTGTGGTCCCTTTGTGTCAAGATTCAGTTTTGCACTTAAATGTGCAACTGAGGAGGGCTCTTGTGATTTAACCAACCTATCCTAAAAGTTGTAATGTACTAGGACACCACTGAATTTGAAGGCAGAAAGATGTGGATTCAAATCTTGCCTCAGACACATATGACTCACTGAGTGTCTCTGGGCAAGGCATGCCATAATTCTGAGCCATGGTTTCCTTATCTGTAAAATGAGGGGTTTGGATTCAATGATTCCTAAGGATTCTTTCAGTTCTAGATCTATGACTATGACTCTATGATCTCTGAGCAGCCAAGTTCAGGAGGGAGCCTGGGTCATACCTCTAAACCAGCTAAGAACCTCTCACTCTTCTGGTTACAAAGAAGCTTCTCAGTTCTGTTTCAGACTTCACCTCAATTGGCATGGACACTTGACCCTTCCTCTCCCTGTATGTGCTGATGTCAGCAACTCAGCAGAACATGACAACAGGAAACACCAGCCCTATAAGCCTTCTGATCCTGAGCCAATTCAAGATTTCTAGTCCTAGCCATGCACCCCATTTAGACCAGGGAGAGCCTTCTTGGAGAAGCTGCCCTGACTGCAAGGACAAGTCTTAAGTCACACTTGATACTGAACCCTGATAGGGAACCACCTTTTAAAATCCCAACCAGATTTCTCTTGCCTTCCAGCTACAAGGCAGGAATGTCCGCAGCTACTGGGGTATTAGAAGCACTTCCCTTCTCATGTTCATGAAGTACTTAAATCACCCTTAATGGTGAAGCTGCTGGGATGTACCATTTAAGGAAGTATCATATGGTTCTGCCTCTTCATAATATCCCTCTGGAGACTCGATCTTTGGGACTGGGAGCTGTTTCCTTTCTGGAATCTGTGGAATGAACAAATAAAACAAACATTTTTTTTTCAAATAAAGATACAGGAGAAAAAACTCAGAATTAACTCTTTCAGTGGAATGATGAAAGGAGTTCCTGGACAAATTTTCTAAAAGAAAAATGTTATATGGTCTTGGAACCAGTTAATTTCAACCAGATAGGGAAACAAGTTTATGAGCAAGGGATTGGGAAGCAATATGAAAAAAAAATCATTAGTGTTTAAAGCTGGAGACCTTAGAGGACATCTGACCCTCCCCCCTCTCAGATGAAGAAACTGAGGCTTCCAGAGGTTAAATGGCATGGTCACTGAGAGCTAGGACTTTAACGCAGGTCCTCCAGTCCTATAAAAATGCTAGCTATTATTATTACCTTACTGGGATGTTGTAAGATATACCAGGAAAGAAAGAAGAGTCAACTAGTCAATAAACGTTTAGCAATCAACTAACCATGCCTAGCATCTTCACAAATGTTTATGAGACTGTAAATGTTTTAACATTTTAGATGATCTGTAAACATACCTTTATAACAATTTCTTAAATTTAAAAAAATCCATGGAAAATATTGAGGTAACATTTGTTAAGTTGTCATTGGTCTTCTTTGAGAATGAAGGATGAAGAGCAGAAACAACAACCAGCTTGTCAAGTTACGAATTCCACACTAGCGAGATCTAGAGCACTGTTCTGTCATACTTGGGGGCTTTTAAATACTGTATGTGTTTGGCTTTCAACATACAAGAGATGGTAGTGAACTTTGGGAGAGCTGCCTAAGACCAACCATTCCTTCAATCTAGCTGAAGTACTCTTCATGCTTTAGGAAAAGGAGATTTGGAAGCAAAGAAAAGGTCTGTAAGGAAAGAATGGAAAGGAGGCAGCCCTTAGGGGGCTAGACCACTAAGTTCTGTCACTAGTTTCAGTTAATTATTCTCATCTACCATCCTTGTCTTCCCTTCTTCAACATTACAGGGGAATGCTTAAAAAAGAGTGTGTTGTAATGTACTAAAGGACATTGATCCTGGAATTAGAAGACCCAGGTTTCAAATTCAATATCCAAAATTCAAAGCTCTGACACTTTCTAGCAAGGGTCTACTATTAAGCATTTTGAAACTCAGCTTCATCATCTGTAAAATGGAGATAATGTTAGTGTATCTACCTTAAAAGGATTTGTGTGGGAACAGTTTTGTAAACCTTAAAGTACTATGAAAAGTTCATTATTATCATAAAGGCCAGAAGCCCAGAGATATAGGTAACATGCATAACCATAGCTTTATAAAACTCTATCTCAATATCTATTCTAACTATACAATAACTTTTAGGGACATTTTACTGGAGAATTATACTCAGTTGGAGCAGAAGATTCTGAATCAGGACTTTTATCCTATCCTATATAGAGTATCTTTCCTAGGCAAATCCTAGTACAGATCACCTATGATTACCCAGGAGCCTGTCCCAGCCCAAAGTCCTTGTAGGCTGAATTATTGATGTGACTCTCTGGGAAAGGGGTGCAGTGGGGAGGAATGATGGACAGGTGGTATACGAGGCATCTGACTATCTTCTTATGAACTAGGGCACACTAGAAGTACTTCCTCTTTCTAACAGGGACTCTCAGTTCAACACAATCAAAACAGTATTGTCAGTAGGTCAAGCAAAGCTGAAAGCCAACCCTAGGAAGCATACCGGACATCTTTTAAGTTGACAGGAGTACAAATCAAGGAAGCAGATAAATGTTGTTAAAGTCTTTGAAAAGATTCCAGAACCTGGGAAATGTCCCAGCATGATTTCTAAGACTTTTCTTAGAAATTCAAGCTTCTAGGCATGTGCGCTCACAAACACATACATGAACATATTACTTGACCTCTTGGCAATAACCCAGGGTTGCAAAAGTAGGGAAAACAACTGTCTTCCAGACTGGCTAAGTTATGCATAAACCTGCCAAACTAAGAAAGCAAAAAGTAGAGGGGTCAAAAAATAGAGGGCTGTCTCTACTAGTCAGCAGCTCTCTACAAATCTAATTCTTTTATGAGGGCAGAGACCACCTCTCATACATCTTTGTATCCTCCACAGTTCCTATCAGAGGGTCTTGAATACAATGGGAACTCAATACCTGATGTCAAAGCTTGGTAGCATCAAAACAATAGTGAATATACTGGTGTATCCAAAACTTTGTCTCAAGAGATGGTTTGATTTGGCTTAACTCATCCATTCTTGGATCACACAGAATACACAATATTGAAGGGACTAGTGATATATAGAACCAATAGCCCAGGATTTCTCCAAGGATGTGGCCAAATCTTTTATTTTTTTTTTTTGGTGGGAGGGGGCACAAAAGGCTGACAATAGGATAATTCAATTCAACTCAATAAATATTTATTAAGTTCCTACTATGTGTTGGGTACTGTGCTAGGGATATAAAGACAAAAATCAAAACAGTTTTGCCCTCGAGGAAACATTCTACTAGGTGGAAATAATATGAACACAGAAAAATAAATACAATATATACATACATACATTTATATATGTATATATATATATGTATGTATATATATATATATGTATGTATGTATGTATGTATGTATGTATGTATGTATGTATATGTATATATATATGAAAAATACTCCATGGCTACTTAACCAACTCCCACTAAATGTGGATTACTCTAACTCCTCTCAGAGTTCTAGGAGCAACCCTGAGGGTCACTGGGGTTTGTAGTACTCTTGCTCATAAGCCTCACAGGTGAGCTTCCCAGGAATTATTAGTTAGATTCAATAAGCTTTTAGAAAAGGGGATTTATTAAATGGATATGCAAGGGCAGTTGTTAGAGAAACAATCCCCTATGCTCTTGCCCACACAAGTTCCCTGGAAAGAATAGATTCAAACATATCAAAATTGTATCATAAGATGCACTTTTAGGGAAATTGTGTGGTAAAGGGATAACATAGCTTCTGCTTTCTCCATTGATTGAGTCAGTCTAGCTCTCTAAGCCTTCTTCCTTTACATATGTAAAGTAATTTTGGGGGGTGGGAAGGATCACTAGCACTAACTACTAGAGGAATCAGGAGAGGCTTCATTTTAGGAGATGGCCCTTGAGCATATCCTTCCATGAAGCTCGAGATTGGAAGAGGTCAAGTTGAGAAAGGAGAGCATTATAGGCATGAGGATCAGCTTGGGCAAAGTTCATGTAAGCAACAGGAGAGGCCCATTCATTTTATAACTACCTGAGGTAGTTCTGGATCTCTAAATTCTTTCAAATGAAGCCAAATCAGGCTTGATTGGATGACAACTTTTCTATCACCTAGTAGATGATGACATTTCTTTGAAAATTCCCAGACATCCAGGATTTGGATTCAGATAAGGATTCTCATAATCGTAGTGTGAAAAAGCCTTAGTAAGAAAGTTGAATTTCTGTGCTTAGGCCCTGTTTGGATAAACCTTTTTTCCCCCAAGTCTAATAAACACACACACTCTAAGAGCTCTGACCCAGCAGTGAGGGTGCACCAATTCCTTACTTTTGCAACACAACCACAATGTGTATTAAAGTACAGGAAGTTCAAGAAGTCAGTATTGTGAGACATGTCTTTGGATTGGGGGTGGAGAAAGGAGGAAGGGTCAGTGAGTAGGTCATGGCTATTCAGATGTATCAATAGACAAGTTGTGTGAAATTCTACCAATTAAGTTAACTCATTTAGGACTAGGCCTTTTATCTTTTCATTTCCAGAGAAGACGGAGGAGTGTAAAGCAGAGAAATCTGATAGCAATCAGCTTGAGAACATCTGTTTCTGCTGAGGCAGCCAGAGCATCTGGCTGCCTTGGAGTCAGGGACAGCATTCACGCAGTTACATCAGAGCCTTACCCTTGTCTTTTCCAGGAGCACATTTTCATTCACTCCTGTGAGGACCACAAACAATCAGAAGTGTAACTAGAGGAATTCGTTTCAAGAAGAGTACCCAGAATAAAGGGTTGAATTGTAGTGAAATGGGGGTAGCTTCTGGGGATGAGAATATGGAGACCCTCCCCACAGGAAGGGTGAGGGAGGTGGCATGAGGCTAAAATATGAAATTTGAGGGGTAGGAGGAAGAGCTTTGGAATTCTGAGAGGGAAGAGGTTTTTTCGCTGGAAGCATAAAAAGAGAACAGAAGGGATTGTCCAAGGCCATGGTCAGTGAGGTGATCCAGAGAATTCCTGAGCTAGGGAGCTAGAGGAAAAAAATACTTTTCTAGACTCTGACATTATAAAGGTCATGGATATAGAGTTGGGAGGAACCTTAGGAGTCATCTACTTCAGTGGTGTCAAACTCAAATAGAAATGGGGGCCACTTATGTATGGAAGTATGTAAGGATCTCTGTAGATTGCATATTGATTTAGTTTTAAAATGATGTGTGTATGTGTGTGTATGTATGTATGTATGTATGTATGTGTACATTACATGCACACACACACATACACACACACACACAATTTTTTGTTTATTTCCCAATTACATTTTAATCTGGTTTGGGCAGCACTCTGGAGTGCTGTAGGCATTCAGTCAGCGTGTTTGACACCTCTGATCTGCTCTAATGCCTACCTAAAATATGAGTCACATACACAAAATCTCAGATAAGCAGTTATCTAGTCCCCATCTGACTATCTCTGGTACCCTCTGAGGTAGCCTGTTACATTTTTAGACAGCCCAGTTACAAAATCTTTCCCTTCAGTGTGACCCTGCCTGGGCAAGTCACTTTATGTGATAATGTGATTATGTGATAATAATAGTACCAACTCCAAGAATGGTTATGAAGATCAAATGAAATATGTATAAATGTTTTGTAAAGCACTTAGCATGGTGCCTGGCATATGATAGCACTTAATAAATGGTTGAAATTTTTAAAAAGAGAGAGAAAAATGTTTCCTTACAATAAACCAAAATGTTTGTTGTTGCTCAGTTCTGTCCTATTCTTCACGACCCTGTGGACCATACTGTCCACTGGGGTTTTCTTGGCAAAGGTACTAGAGAGATTTGC